TGTCTTTATGTCAAAAACCTTTTTATTATTTAGTCAAAAATATTAATATAATATTTTTGCTTTTAACACCATATTTTTACCAGTCCCCTCTCTCCAGAAATACATCATGTCACATTTTCAGTTGGTGTTTTGTTGTTGGCACGCCGACCTCGATTTAGACTGGAGTTGTTTTGTCTTGACTCCCTCAGATCAGCCTCATGGATTAACTAATACGTTTTGAACTTTCAGTGCTCAATGAGTTATGTTCCACTGGAAAGGTATTTACACCCTCTAATGTTTAAAGACTGTTAAATGATTCCCTTAAGGAGCCTTTTCTGTAGATGAGACTCGGCAAGAGTATGTTTCTCCATACAAGAGTTAGGTTAAAAATTATTAAAAATGTGTACGATTCAGCAATAAATTCTGTTGTCTTGTTTGGCCGCGCTTCATGTAATTGTGTCTTTTGTGTTGTAGGAAGTAGTCGAGGAACTTTCAGAGGATATTTTGACAAAGCTACCACAAGACTTTGACATCCACTTGGTGATGGAATTATATCCAGTTGTTTATGAAGAGTCGATGAACACTGTGTTGAGGCAAGAGATTATCCGCTTTAACAGGTAAGACTGACCTCTGTCCCGCCGCAGTCACAATAGAAAAGCTGTGATAATTTACATTTTAAGCTGTTTTCTCTTTTAGACTCACGGAGGTGGTGCGTGAAAGTTTGATAAACATTTGCAAAGCTCTCAAGGGCCAAATTGTTATGTCCTCTGAGCTTGAGGATGTCTTTAACAGCATGCTGGTTGGCAAAGTACCAGGAATGTGGGCAGCCAAGTCGTATCCCTCCCTTAAACCACTAGGGAGCTATGTGGCTGATCTACTGAGCAGACTACAGTTCCTCCAAGTAAGAATCATTGCAAGTTTAGGCCAGTATATGTTGTCATACTAAAGTATACATACCCCTTGAACTCTACAAAGTTTTTTTATGTCACAACTACAAACCTATGTGTACTTCTTTGGGATGTATTTATTTATTTATATTATTTTTTCAAATAATTACAAGGTATGCTGTGCATTTGTATTTCACCCAACTAAGTATATGCTTTGTAGAACCTGTTTTTGTAAGAATCACTAGCGCAGCCCTTTGCTCATCTGGATACTGAGTTAATGGCCCATTTTCTTTGGAACATATCTGAAGCTCAGTCAGATTGTTTGATGGACATGATTTATATTTTCAAATCTTTCCGTAAATTCTCACTCTGGACTTTAACTAGGTCAACATACTTTCCTCAAAACCATTTCATTGTAGCTCTGACTGGATGTTAGTCATTCTGCTGAAATGTGACCTTCCTCTCTCTCGAGGTATTTGCGATTGCTAATTGTTGCACTCGTGTTGTTTTTTTTTTGTTTTTTTTAACTCAAGCTTCTAATGCATTTAGCTCCAGCCCTCTCCCATTGTTATATGGGTGTTGGGACATCTTACAACTTTCTTTCAACAATGGCCGTCTTCTTACCACAGATAATAGTTCTGTCAACAAATTCTTCCAGCTGTACTGTGGACTTCTGCAGCTCCTCCAGAGTGACCACAAGCCTCTTGGATGCTTCTATGATTAATTCTTCTTCTTCTGAAGCCTTCACATAGCAGCTGAATTTATCTTGCGATTACGTTACATGCAGGTGTACTCAATTTACCAATAAGGTGACTTCTAAAGGCTCTTGTTTGGTTTGACTGGATTTTATTTAGGTCTACAAGACTGAACAGATACTCACCTCTTCCTTCAAGTTTGCAATTATACACTAATCAGTGATGGCCTACTATATAAACTCATTTTAGAATACATTGGGATTGGTAGCTTTAACTTGACAAAATGTGGAAAAGTTCAAAGGGAATGAATACTTTTGCAATGGTCTGTAAAGCTTTCTTATTTCCATATCTTTGTTTTGAGTTCTGATACTTAAAAAGTATTCATGTAAAGATTCTAATACCTTTACGTATTATGATGGTGATCTGTACAGGACTGGATAAATGAGGGCCCACCTACAGTTTTTTGGATCTCTGGTTTTTATTTTACCCAGTCGTTTCTAACTGGAGTGTCTCAGAACTTTGCCAGGAAGTACACCATCCCAATCGACTATATTGGTTTTGAATTTGAGGCAAGTATTTGGTTTCTAACTTTAATTAGTCACTTTTAGTCATAATAATGCAGTCTTATTTTCTATTTACATTCTCATCCACATACCAGGTGACCAAGGAGGAGACCTATATGGAACAAAAGCCCGAAGATGGGGCATACATTAAGGGTCTCTTCATGGAAGGAGCGCGCTGGGACAGGGAGAACATGGTCATTGGGGAGTCTCTACCGAAGATTCTCTTTGACTGTTTGCCCATCATTAAACTCAAACCAGGAGAAATGGACAGATTTCTGCACGAGAAGATCTACGTCTGCCCTGTTTACAAAACTAGCGCCCGTCGAGGTACGCTGTCGACCACCGGGCACTCCACCAACTATGTCCTATCCATCGAGCTGCCCTCTGACAAGCCACAGAAACACTGGATTAACCGTGGGGTGGCGTGTCTCTGCCAGCTTGACGACTAACAATCAACCAGTTTTTAAACAGCTGCTGATCTTGTCAGCTGTTACACAAGCCAATGAAATACATGTTTTTGCAATTCAAGAAATATTCTAGGTTTTTTATTTATTTTATTTAAATTGTTGGTAACACAGACGAAACTCCTACAACCACAAGAAATACGAGCAAGGGGGAAGTTTACTAAGTCTGAGTAGGATTGGAGTTTTATCTGGCTGTTGGCTGCATAAAGTAACACTGTGATGCCTCTCCCACAATTGATGCTGCAAACTGCCAGTCAGCTGTAAGAAGGCTATTACACTTTTGCTTAGCTTACAAGAAACAGAAAATTGGCTAGTATTGAGCGTTTAACAGGTGAGAGGCCCGACACGTCCTGGACAGGTTGCTAGTCCACCGCACGGCGGTTTAAAATGTAACATTTGATAATAAAGTAACTCTGAAATCATAATACTTGATCAAAGTATTTATCTGCTATATCAGACAAATGTGTGACCTGGAGTTTTACCATCATGTCAACACTTGAAAAACGTATCCTATACATCTTTATCCAGGTCTGACACTAGATGGCAGCAAAGGCAAATCATTGAACTTCTATGGTGTTTTAAAATTCTGTTTTAATGGTTTTGCCATAAAGTAATACATTTATTGTTTTATTTAGAATTTGAATAATGTCCCAATTGCTAAATATTATAATAAAGGCAAACAAAAACACCTCCGAATATTTTTCATATATCGCCAAACCAAATTTAAATATATCTTTCTCAAAACTAGGATGCTTAATATTTAATGTATAATCTAAACTCTCTTAGCTTAACTTAGCTGAAAACAGAGGTGATTGTGTTTGTGTTTGGGGGTTGTGACCTCCACGCTTTTGATCCTTCAGGTTCCTATATTTTTGATACTTCTCTTGCTTTTGACGAACACATCAATGCTGACATCAAAGTTACTGTCTTACATGTCAAATCACTCGCATAAGTGAAGCCATACCTTTGTTTTAGACACTTTGTAAGAGCTTTTAAGAGCTCTTACAAAGGGCATTATATTACTTTGTCTTAAAACTTTGCATAATTTAACATCTTGTACCTCTCCGAGTGCGCACAGCCCCTCTTTAGATCACTGTGATTTACACAGAGCTTGCTCCTGGCTGTTCCAAGGTCAAAATCAAAGCACCAGGGAGACCAAAACTGCTTTTCCATGTCACGACCTCTCCAACATCAGATGCTTTCAAATCCTGCTTGAAAATCCGCTTTTGCTTTCCATCTTTTGAATCACAATGAGTTTGACTCAGTTTTATTGCGTTACTTCTTACTCAACTTAAACTCAATCTATGTAAGATTCTGGGTTTTTTTATCATTTCCCTTACATTTGTTTGTTTTATTCTTCAGGATCGCTGCCCTTTGGTTAATTAAATATGCTTTAGAAGAGAACTTGAATTGACTAAAATACACTTACTTCCTCCTTTATAACATCTAGAGTTAGCAGATGCTCCTTTATCCGCCTAAATCTGTAGCTCTGTTGTATAAATATAACTGATGAAGTCTGGAGTCCGACTGGAGCCCCAGAGAATCTTACTTTGTTCAGTTTTCATTACAGATATGTTCCTTCAGTTTTATAGTTTTATCCCTGAGCAGTAAAAGCCTACAGTCTAACCTATTACAGTTATTTCATGTAAACGTGAACCTGATGATGAAATGAGGAGAGAATATCTTCTCTTCAAATTAAGATTCGGTATTTCAAAATTCCGTAATGGCACTGAAAAACAACGTCTCGTTGGTGTTGTTGAGCCTAATTTGTCCAAGTGTTACGATTGTCAAAATAAGAGATTGTGTTTCTTCTGCAGAGCCCCACAGTCTGGCAGAGTCAAAATTAGGGCATTAACATTCTGTCTGTTTGTGTTCATACGGTGCAAATTAGAAAGTCCAGCTGAAAGATTTCAAGAAAAAAAGCTATCTCACTGACCATTGATTAATAATGATGTCCAAACAGTGGACCGCATCGCAATTGTGAAGTAAATTCAGTGGTATAGTTTTACAGTTTGGTCAAAGAGCTATAGGAGTTTATTCTCATTGTCAGCAAAAAAAAAAAAAAAACAGGCAAGCAATGCTGCCAACCGGTGGGTGAAGATGTATTCTCTGCAAAGGTCATTTCTCATTCTTTTTCTTTCCTTATTTTCTGCACAGGAATTATAATATCCACACCAGCTTAGTCTCCAGGTCCTATGGATGGATGAATAAGATTTTCTTCCCGTGGAACACATGCACGCTCCAGTGCAAACCTAATGAAAACTTAAAACAGCGTTTTCATTATTATTATTTCTTTTTTTGGTGGGAAGAGGTGAGGTGTGTTTAAAAGTGGGTGCAAAGGGAAGTTCTCCCGGTAGCTATCTATGCAATAACCATTGCCTTTTTATATAATATCTTTTGGATAGATCTATCTTTTTTTTTTTTTTTAATGATGGCAATAAAAGAACTTTTCCATGATATTCCACTTTTTTTTTAGATGCACACGTAGCTTTTTTTATTATTATTATTTGTAGACAAATAAAAACATGACTTGTACGAATAAAACACGTAAGCAACTATGAAGCAACATCGGCATTGTCCCAGATGATGAGCTTTCTCTCGCCCTCAGACAGTCCATCCAAAGAAGCCTGATTGAAGCAGAGGAGAAAGGCGAATTGGAAAAGTCGTCGACATCATCTTGCTCCAGACAGCGTTGAGGGGTTTTTAACGCCCAGCTGGAGAGAGAGAGAGAGGCAGATCGAGCCCCCGAGCTGTTTAAATTCTCTTTACGCAGGCGCACGCCCAGCTGTGACGGAGATGTGAGGAATGTTTGATGGTGACGGACTGGAAGGTGTGTCGCTTTTAGCTGTTGCTGTCGCCCCAGCTTTGGTCGCCTCCCCCCACCTTTCAGTTAGAGAGAAAGAGAGGGAGGGAGGGAGAAGGAGCGAGAGAAACAGACTGACAGGGGGGGCAGAGAGAGAGAGAGAGAGAGAGAGAAAGAGAAGTTTCCTGTCCTGTTGGTGCTACACTGTCGCCGATTCGTTCACTTCACACGATGGCACGCCTGCGTCTGTGTGCGAAGCCGCTGCTTGGGGATCCCCGTTACCTCCTATGAGAAGCGACATAAAGAAAACAATTAAAAGAAAGTGTCTCCATGTCTGAATTCGGGTCACATAAGAAGAACGACGTCGGCCCACCGGTTGCTGCAGGCTGGAGAGCGGCGTGCGGTGGGGCCAGCGCCGGAATGAGCGTGGAGGCGCACCGGGGAGGGGAGCCCGTGTCAAACGGAAGCTGCAGCGCGCCGGACGCCGTCAAACGGGTCCAGAACGAATCCGGGTGCGAGTCCCCGACGTGGGAGAACCCGGGCTCGGAGTCGGCTCTCAAATCGGCGATCCCTCGACGCAGCAGTCTGATCAAGGTAGGTCATCACTTCGGTTTGGAGGAAGCGGCTCTTTTAAGCACAGATGTTTATGGAAAAATACAGAGCAATCCCCGAATAGATTCTAATAACCGGCAGGCGTACATGCCACCCAAATACGGGATTTATTGTAGATGCATCTTCAACAGAAGCCGTGCAGGAAGGTTGTGTTCATGGGAAAATACCACGAAATAAAAAACAAAGTTAGATTGGAAGAACCCATTGAGTAATATTAGACAGATGCGTTTCATTACACTCCTCTTTCATCCAACCCGAGATACGACCACTACTGTTTTTATTCAGTGAACGGGCCTGTCGTCAGCTTTTTTTTTTTCTTTGCATGTCAACCAGCAGAATAATCAGTCACACCATCTCTGCACATGTGCCAGCTGCTCTTGAGAAAATTCTCAAAATTCTATGTGACGCTAAATGTGGAAAGTGATGAATGATCATATTCTCAAACGGCCAAATATGTCATTTTACAAGCTAAATGTACTTAAGATTCCAAAGTAGTTTACACAATGCCTTGCAAAAGTGAAACTTTTTTTTTTTTTTTTTTTTTTTTTTTTTTTTTTTTTTTTTTTTTTTTTAACATTTTGTCTTGTTACAACCACTAACTTGAGTGTATTTTAGTATGATTTTGTGACGGGCAAACATAGAAAATAGAGTCCACCTTGTATTTGATATAACTTGTAATAAAAAATAATAATAAAACCATATTAATACTATGCTAGTCACCACAAACCATACTTGTGGACACTGCAAATATGTTAAAAGGTATTCTGGTCTGATAAGACCATGACTTAGCTTTTTGGTCTTTACTTTGTGTGGTAAATATTAAACATAGTGGTGGCAGCATCATGCTGTGGGGGTGCTTGTCTTTACTCTTCTGTCGGAAGACTGATGTATTTTTGCAGAGACAAATGGGTAGAGTTTAACTCCAGATGACCCACAGCTTGCAATTTCTGAAAGAGTGTTGACTTGGGCTGCTTCGTACAAACCCGCGCATACTTTTTCTTCAGCGTGTCTTTCTTACTACGTGTTGTTGGTTTATCACATAGACATTCTAAAGAAGACATCAAAGTTTCTGGTTGTAACGTGAATAAGTTTAACAATGTTTAAAGGGCATAAATGCTTTTGCATATATTATAGACGGCAGGTATTTCTGCTCATAAGCACGGATTTGGCTGACCTTGCTGAACTGAAAAGTGAAGTCATCCACAGTCCATTTTGATTGAAGTGAGAAATTACATTTCTTTTCTGCCCTCTTCAGTTCACAGTTAAACAGTGAACTTTATTTAAACATAAATATCCACATTCTTCGCGCACCGTTGCTTTTGAATGATATTAACCTTTAACGTATTGCCATATCAATATCAATATCCACTAATCGATACCTCATTCCCTGACTTTGCCTTTTACTGTTTTGGTCCCCCAGGGGGCATGTGGGAGGTCTTATGGATCTCCAGCTGTAGCCCGTCTGAAGGGCTGCTGCCTGCAAAGACATGATTATTTGAACATGCCATCATCTCTCCCTCTCTCTTACTCTGTGTGTGTATATGTGCGAGTGTGTGTGTGTGCGCCTGAGTGATTGGCTCTGACTCAGCAAGACAGGAAGCGGGACCCGTTGGCCAATTTCCTCGTACAGTTTGTGTTGCAATATTGCTATTAAGCCATGAGCAGTTGGTGGTGACAAATCACTTTCCCTGGAGCGCATACACATGCATGCACATAAAATCAGACAAATGTTTCTCACCTCTTTGCCCACACACAGGCCTGCTCTCGTAGACGCTCCTCTGCTGCAGCCGGCTCCTAACACGAACAGTCTGAAATGGACTGAAGTTTCTGGAGCCTCACACGGCGCCAAGAGTGGTGTTAAGCGACTCCCGGTGAAGAGTCTGATACACGGTGTCACGTCTGATGTTTCAATGACTTTGGAGTACCACTGTGTGGTGACTCACAAAGAACGGGGCCGATCAAAACGTGGCGCCTACTTTGCCGTCTTCTTTTTTGTGTCGCTTGGCAAATATGGGTTCGGTGGACGTGTTTGGCAAAAATGATTCGACTGGAGCAGGGGGTTCACCTTCCAGCAGGAAATCGACACTTAAGGATACACGTTAGAGCTGCTGTGGAATGATTTGCATGAAATGTATGGGTTGCCAAGATGGTCTAGTCAAACTCCAGACCTAAATCTATCCAAGGCTTTTTTGTCACGACTCAGACGTCATTAACCAAATCAGATCAATGGTTTGCGTGATGCTACGATAACCCCAAACATGTCAGAACATGCAGATTTTCATGATTGTAGCTCATCCTCATAATGTTAGACGTTATTAATCCAGTTTGTCCACATAATAGCACGGGTGTCTGCTTTGCTGCAATACTCTTAAGGTCACAGTCAAGATTCTTCAATGCTTTACTGCGGGGTGGTATGTTGGGTTGATGAACAGGAAATGTGACATTCCAGAATGGGTTTTTCACAGGACTTCAGGCTTTGTTTCCGCTGTGTGCGCTTGTGTCTTCCTGGTCCTGTCGCCAAAGTTAATGAGAGTATTTTATTAGTCTGTATCGCGCCCTGTCCTCTAAAAGGGGAGGTTTCTGTCTCCTTCATTCGCGTGAAGGAGATGCAGAAAAAGACAGCCACTTAGGTTAAGTACGTTTCAAGTTCATCTGAGATGTAGATATCAGTCGTTCACCTCTCTTCCTAATAAAGATACCCATTTGTTCTGACCTTTCTTGTAATAAATTATCAGAAGGGGGAATAAAAAAAAATAAATTCTCATTTGTCCTGCCAAGAGACACCAACAGGCTTTCCGTTTAATGTCTCTGTGTGCTTTCCACTTAAAACGGCAAATTGGCATTCCAGAAGTCTCGGATGGTGCCTCGACTTCTCTCTCAAGTTTAAAGCTTGTATTTTTCTTTTCTTCAACAATGACGGGGGGGGAGGAAGCAGTTTTCTGTCAGGAAATCAGACGCAAATTTGTAGAGTTTGCAAAACTCTGAGATCTTAACTGGAACTGTGTGCTTTGTTCTGATGAGACTTCAATTAAGATTTTCGGCGACAAGAACTCTAGCGTGGATTTGGGGCGAAAGAAAAGACGAGTGCGTGGAAAAACACCTCATGCCGTCCGAGCGCTGTGGGATATCTGTGATGCCGACGGATAGTTTTTCTTCCAGAGGCCATGGGAGGCTTGTCAGAGTACTTGGATTCATGACACTTTTGAAGTGCTTGGATATTTTATAGGCTTCGGCAGCGGAATAATCAGACGCATATGATTGGGTCAACAGTCAACACAAATCTTTTAATCGGAAACTAAATCAGCCTGTATGGCCTTCTGGATCTCTCGGTCTAAATTCAATTAAAGTGTGTTGAGTTGAAGAGGGAGAGTGAGGATAAGGGAGAACCTGGGATGGTCTTCAAAGATATTTCCTTCTGAACGGTCCAACAACATAAATTGCTGGAGCAAACCGAGTACCGTCCAGCTGTACAAATTATTAACTGCAGGGTTGCTGATGATGATTCACTTCTAAATTCTTTAGTGTGAGATTTTGCCACTGCAATAATCTACTTTTAACATGTTTTTTAATATATATAAATCTGGGGTGCCATATGTGTGGCCTGTATTGTATGTGCATGTCTGATAGTGAAGAAGCATTTTGCATCTGTGCCTGTTCTCCAGCCTGAAGGGGGAAGCATTCACTGAAGGCAAGGTGTCAGCACAAATCCTGGGGATGATAGCGGTTTCATTTCAAGCCCTGCCTTAAACTGTTTTAACTGGAGTGAGTAAGAGACGGGGAGGGAGTCAGGCTCCCTGCTTATTGTCCTGCAGCGAAGAGGAAATGCTGCTGTTATTGATATAGTTCCCCCTCTCCCCCCTGTTTATCTAAATTAAACATTTTAATAAAACTAGCATTTTTTTGTTGTTGTTGTTGCCATAAACCTTCAGGACGTTTCTTTAAGTAAACACTGTAGTGAAGTGAAGTGGTGCAGTGAATTGCTCAAGTTTGGCCTTTGGGGTGCTCGCGTAAATGTGCCGTTTTCCCCACATGAACCTGGGAGATTTGCTTCAGGATTATTAGTAATTCTAATTTATTGGAGGTAAGACTTAAGATCTGGGAGGCTGTTTTCTGTAATAGTTGTGCACTAAAAGATGCAAACAAAATCAAGCTAAGCCAGGTGTGCCCGAGGCAACTCCAGCCCCTGAGAGCTGCTATCCTCCAACTTCTAGATGCGATTCCTTCACTAGCAAGGCAGAATCAAAAAAGTGGTTCAATACAAGGCCACTGGAGAGGTGAATGACGTGCTGGTGAGGGACTTTAGCCATTTGATCCAGATGTGTTGACACAGGGTGCATCTAGAAGATCCAAGAGAGCCTAAGGACTGAACTTTGGCACCACTAAGCTAATATTGTGAAAATGGTTAGCCACTCGTAGTATTCTTCTTGCACTTCTTTCAAATTGTTTACATCTTGTTTACCACATTCTCTTCTTCTCTACCTAGCATCCAAAATGTAGCAACAAAAAGGATGTGAAAATGGTGGGGGTTTCTTCAGTAAGTTCATAGTGTTGTTGGCATCTTAAGTGTCTTTCTGAAACACTCGAAGCTTAGACTTGGACATCCTTTTCTTAAATCAGTATGTTTTATGAAAGGTCTGCAATAAAAATGGGGGCTTCTCAGTCCCACTAATGACGAGGTTATTTTGAAGCGAGACGCCCTTCCAGCTTTATTGTGCATTGTAGTGATTCTACGTTGCCGCATGTGATCAGCTGCCCTGGGAAATCTAAACCCAAAACAACACTGCAACTGTGGCGCCATGCTTCATTTACCTCCATTTCATACTAACTGAACGGCTTGTTCATCTGTTTGACAAGACCGAACGGATCCCTGGACTTCAGCCAAGGGTAGTTTTTTTTTAGGAGGAAATACAACTGATGAGGCTTAACTTGGCACAGGTGTGCTTTAAGGTTTAAAACAGAAGAACGTCAAACAGTCATTGTCT